AATTTTTCAAGTCATTTTCATATTTTAAAACTATTTTTGACTTAAGATTGCATTTTGGGTTTTACCTTTGATTAATGATTGTAATTGAAAACTTTTGTACATGATTCTTGTTTGATTCTTGAAATAGAATGTGGTGCTGACTTGGAGCATATCTTGAGGAAAATTCTTCAACATCATTGGATCTTGGGTGTTGATAGGTTGATAAACCAAATCCATTAAAATGGACGAATGATGTTTATGATATTTGAAACTCTAATCCCTTCCCTCTTCATCTTATTCCCCTTTCTTATTGTATTACATGTTATGGGATAATGATCTCTATATCATTTATCCAAATATGAAATACATAGATTGCTATTGACTGACTTCAAAATAGGTGCGACTTCTTCATAAGTCCACTTATGATTGCTTAACATAGCGCTAAATTTTGTCCCGATTCTAATAAATGATCATTTGTGGTCCAAACCTATATTTGCAAGCCCAAGTATGTTAATTTGATATGTTTTATCCAATAACCTTGAGATTAATTGTGTGGAGGCTTTGGTTCTACCAATCCTCTAATGGATCTTCATAAATTTTGATCAACGTGGATCACTTAAACATCGCTGATCATTAAATGTTGCCTTGAGAATTCTTAAATGGATGATATACTTGACAAAAAGCAAATGCAACTTGTTGTTGAGAGGCTTTGGTTCTACCAATCTTCTAATGAGTTCCAAATACAAGTTTCAAAATTTTCATCCAACTAACCACTAATTCTTAACAATTGACTTTACTTTATGCTTTTATTTTTACTTTTACTTTATGTACTATTTACTTTAGCATTTACATTTCATGCTATTTTCATCTTTGCTCACTTGAGCATTTATTTTTATGTCATTTTTATTTTGCTCACTTGAGCTTTTCTTTTCTTTTTGAAGATACTTAATAATCAACATAAACCATAAAAAAACTTTAATAATACTTGGAATATTTGGTTACTATCATTGGCATTATGGAACATTGGACTTCTTGCACTTAGGATTAGAGACCTTGATCATATGTTGGAGACTTTGTGACCTTAATTGATATTTTTTCTGGAGTTCTTGAGGTTTACCTCAAGACATGGGTTGTTTGTTTGTTTTGTATGCAGGTTATTGTGATTACATACTTTGTTTGTAATCTGGAATTCACCCGTATACAGCCGTTACTCTGCCCAATTTTTGTGAAGACTTAATACATTTGAAGTTTGGTTCTCTCAAAAGGTCTAATATCTTTGCTTGCTTGGTTTCAATCCAAAGAATGAGAATTCTATCTTGACTCATAATGTCAAGTATTGGCTTCTTGTTGGTTAGATGGTTCTTCTCCTTAGCTTTTACCTTATGCTTTAGGATAGTCTCTTCTTCTCCTCTCATCTTCTTTAATTTCAAAAAATCTTCTCTCTCCTTTTGAAAACTCTTCTTGTTTTTTAAACTTGAACCACTTTCATAATAAACTTGGACTTAGGTCCATGCATTTTTAAAACATTTTCATGAATAAATTTCAATCAACTTAATAATACCTTGACATTTTTTGTGAGAAGACTAAAAGTCAATCAATCTCATTTCAAACCATTTTGTCACTTTGGCTTTTTATCTTTAAAATTTTCTCAAAAGATTAGACTCTTGCCAATCCTTGTAGTGACGCAAACAACTATACTTCTACAATATATAGTGAAGAGAGATATTTTCCACTTGAGTGTTGAGTGAGATTTTGTTGATTTTTTAACATCCAAGTCATATCCTCCACTTTGAGATGATGCAAATTCTCATTTCTCATGATTGTGGGTAGTAAGTATGTTTTCCACACGGACAATGACGATGATGTCTTATCTCATAAAATTAACCAACACACTTGTGTTTTAAAATTTTTAAAGGTGAACTACGTGTACCCTGATCCTCTATTGCACGAAAGGTGGTACATAGGCACTAAAGGTTCGCAACCATGACGGGTGCAAAAATCATAAAAAAATATTTCTTTTCTCACCTCCACCATCTATTTTTATACAACATTTTATAGCTAAAATATACAGATTTTACAAAGAGGTTCCTGCGGAATATCGTAGATGTTTAGGGTGCTAATACCTTCCATTTGCATAACCAACCCCCTTACCTAGAGTCTTTCCCCTCTTTTTGGGTTACTCGCTCTTTTCCCATTCCTTTGGAAACAATAAAGCGCGGTGACGATTTTTATTTTGATCTGTATAAGTCTAGTCAATCCAATGGCTTAGTCTTAAATATTTCTACCGCTACAAAAAAAATTGCGACTTCACTGGAGAAAGATTGACCTCTTGCTTTTGCTGATCCATCCCTAAGTGGGTTAAATCTATCTTTGTTTATATCTGTATATGTGCTATTGTTTGTTATATATTATATGTTGTATATCTGTTTGTCTGGATTTTCCTGATTTTCAGGGTGCTTGGTGATTTCACATAAGTCTTATACTCAGACTTGGATAAATCTAAGATAGGACGGGCGGTATAGTCAATATCTTAGATTTTCAATTAATGATTCAATACAATCTAGGATTGTTTGGCTTGAAAGAGTTGTTTTATTTATTCTGATTTCTCGCATAGAATTATTAGTACGCGAATTAATTTGTGTTTGTGGTTGATTCATTCGTCGTTATTTAAGATTGTGAAAGCTCACACAATAAACTTTTGGTGGTTTCGCGCCCTTATGCAAGTTCGCTAGACAATGCTTGCTATGTGTGTGCATTTGCTTCGGTTTCTTATAGAACAATTTTGATGTATTTAGATTGTCTGTAAATTCCTTTTGAACAAATTACTACATTTTGATGTGGTTTAATTGAATCGCATATATCCCCCTCAATATTTTATATATTCTCTTTTGTTTTTATTTTTATTTTTACCTACTTAAGGTGTTGTAGAGATTTTTCCTTCTACACCATATTAGGCTTAAGAGAATTGTGATCTGATAAGAAAAATATTAAGTTCAAATTATGAAATTACTCTTGTGAAAAGTTTTATATATTTAAAATTAAATTTAAATAATTTTTTGATTTAATAAATAAATAAATAAATTAATAACACTAGAAAGTTAAAAGTAATAACATAAATTTAGATTATTTTATAAAATCTATTTACACTGTTAAAAAACCAATGTTTTTTAAAATCGTGATAAATAAGTAATTCTATTATATAAATGGATAAAAGAAATTTTAAAAGCTTATAAATTATATAGACTTAATAAATAAGTTAAATTTTAACAGACTTTCCTATTAATTTAACCATATTATAGAAATAATTTTAGTAAAAAAAAGTTAATTTTATGCAAAGGAAAAACAAAAGGAGAAAAGTTCTAATTTTAAATAGAGTCCACAAACATCATTGGTAATGTGGCAGAATAATATCCATTCATTCTATAACCAAAATCTAGAATCTAGAATTTCTAAATGCTAACCCCTTCCCAAAGAAAACTCCCACACAAGTCACCTTCTCAAGATTGCGAATTCTTCCACAATTGCATGTTCTTATTCTCTCTTGCACATTAAATTAATTCTCGACTTTTTTTTTTTATAGATCAGATATCTTCTGTGTGTACCTTTTCGATTGATCTCGACTATATTTTTGTTATAGATCAAATATCTTTTGTGCGTAATTGAAGAGATTAATTAATTTAAAATTGAACGGTCGAGATCGATAGATGCAATGACACACTTAGTGTGTAGAAGGCAAATCTCTTATCCTTTATTATATAAAGGGTTCAAAGCCACACCAACAAGTCATCAAAATCTTCTACCTACATCTTTCAACTCTCATCACACCTTTATTCATTCTCAATCCTTGATGGGTATGGTATTTGGAAAAATTGGTGTTGAGACACCAAAATATGAAGTAATCAAAACCACACAAGACTATGAAATCAGAAAATACGCACCATCTGTTGCAGCTGAAGTCACCTATGATCCATCACAGTTCAAAGGAGACAAAGATGGTGGCTTCATGATTCTAGCAAACTATATTGGAGCATTAGGGAACCCTCAGAACACCAAACCCGAGAAAATCGCCATGACTGCACCTGTTATAACAAAGGATTCTGCAGAGAAGATAGCTATGACAGCACCAGTGGTGACAAATGAGAGGAACAAGATGGTGACTATGCAGTTTATTTTGCCAGCTAGTTATGAAAAGGCGGAGGAAGTGCCAAAGCCTATTGATGAGAGGGTTGTGATAAGAGAGGAAGGGGAGAGGAAATATGGAGTGGTGAAGTTTGGAGGTGTGGCAAGTGATGAAGTAGTGAAGGAAAAGGTGGAGAAGTTGAAGTTGAGTTTGGAGAAAGATGGGTTTAAGGTTGTTGGGGATTTCTTGTTGGGTAGGTATAATCCACCTTGGACTATTCCAATGTTTAGGACTAATGAGGTTATGATTCCTGTCGAATGAAACATCATAGATGTAATCAAAACATAAATTTCTGTGTTTTCTGTTTCTATTATGTCACTTCTGTAATGTTGTTTATGTTGAGAACTTGGAGTATGTTATAGTGATGTTATGAAAACTGTTTTTCAATTCAATTTTCATACAATAAAATGGCAAATGAATGTTTCATAGTTACTCGTTTTTGTAAACAATCTGCAGAGGATTTTAATGTATGCAATATGATCACCATTTTTTCGCAATATCGACGATGATTGTGATGTTACTGCAGTTTATAGCATAAGTGAAATACGCCATTTAGGGGCTTTCCCAGGACTAACCAGTAAACGGCTTATAGTTTGATGCGAACAATTGCGCTCCAGAAAAAAATCTCAATATCGTATTCGTTTAGAAGAAAGACAAAAATTACATTTTCATTATGGTCTTACTTTGAGTATGATGACGAAGAGAATTTCAATACAGATACAACCCCGAACTGATAAATTGTGATAATTATACATACCTCAGTTGAGCTGAGTTTTCACAGCGTTGTAAACTATAGCCGGAGCATAAAACCTAAAATTTACATGTTCACTTGCTATCCAAGTTATCCAGCGATCAGTTTCTTTGTGATGACGAGAATATTGAAGAAAATAAGAGGAAGTCTCATATATTGACAAACGTGAATGAGTCCTATGACTTGTCCTTTAAGAGTATTCCTTTGAGGTCCGGTCATTTCTGCCAATGTCCATCCTCTTCGAGCAAGGAATCGGTCCTCGTTCAAAATTGCCAATGCATTTGCAAAGAGAAGAAACCCTTCTAGCCAAGACCATAACACAATCCAGAACCCCATTTTCTGCAATAAACATAAAGGGTGTTGTGGATGTTAGTACTCAGAAAAACTATTACCGACGTTGATCGCACAAAATTACATTTTGTTCAAATTCTACTACGCTCTTGTGCTATGACACTTCTATAGCCACTATATTGTGTAACATTTTACACAAAATGATTAAGATTTTTTTCAACACTACTGTCGAAAAGTTGCAACTTAAGATGATCCTTCCCTCAATAACCTTACATGCTCTCCTCAAAATGAAAGGCATTTCAACTTTTGCTTATCATCACAGCTAGATGCAAATGCGAACTCAAACTAGTAATAACATTCTACTTTTCGAAACAAAATTAACAACAGAAATTTAAAATAATAGGTCAAATCAAGCAAATGAATTCTTAGTCTCAGTGACACAACATACTCCATTTTCATGTCACAAAATCATCTTAAACAAGCTGCATGACATTTCTGATTAAGAATAACTTCCAGCAGGATAAGAAGAAAGGTAATAAAGGGGTCTCAGTAAGTTCAGATTAACTTCAATCTCTGTAAGAAGCTGCAGATTGATATCGAGTTTCTCAGTAACATCACTAATCCTAACTAAATCCAACTAAACAAGAAAAAAATATCATTTTCCACATAGCAGTGTTGTCAACCACAAATTGCAGAAGAAAGTAGCGATTCATTCAAATCTTGCTGCGCATCAAAGCTATAGAACCTCTATAACCTATTTGACAATACTTTGTACTAAATAGTATATCATTTGAACAATCGCGTTTTGTTCCAATTCCACTACGGTATAGCGCATTAGCACTGTAGCCACCTCTAATACTAACAAATTCCTTCTACCCCTATCAAATTAACCAATCGGCACTACAATTTACCTATCAATTCTTTTGTGCAACTATGAACTACAGTTTACAAGACTTCAACTTCTAGAATCATGCAACACAGATCGAATAACAAACATCTCAAACCAACCAATCCACGCATGATCTCTAATGTTAAATGAAATTTTTTGACTTCAAACACACACCAATAGTTCTTTTTTTCCCAGCAAGTCTTTAAAAAACAGTGAATAACAACATTTTACAACACTCCAAGATTACTTCAAACCAGAACACCAACATAAAACAAACCAAAATCACATGCACAAAAACTTTATAACATTGCAATTATACCAAAAATACATGAAAAAAACAAAAAAAAAAAAAACAACAACAAAAGTATGAGTCAACGAGTTGCAAACTTGATATGCTACTTTACATTGAATTTCTTGCAAAATTCTCCAACAAGTTAATCTATAAATAATTGATTGAATAAAAATAATGAATAATTAAGAGAAAAAAAAGTGATGAGTTTGTTACCTGTTAGAAAAAAAGGAGCAACCTAGGAGGTTTTGAAAGTGAGAGTGAAATTAAGAAACCCGCTGTTATAAGTAAGGAATTCTCAAAGGATGATATCTAACGGCTCAAAAGGCTCTTGCCAACGCATCTGCGTGAGTGTAACCGTTGGATTAGAAGTCTAACAGGAAACTGATGAAGTAACCTGCATTCGATCTCTTTTGCTGATTGGTCGATACTTTGTTTTTTTTTGTAAATATGGATTCAGTCAGACATGATATTTATCACTTTATTTTTTATACTTTTGTTCATGAAATTAAATTTTAAAATTAATTGAAATATATCAATAATGTAAAGAAGTTTTACACCATCACTTAAATATAGTTGTTAAATTTTTATAAATTTTTTTTTTTTAATTATATAAAATATCACTTAATATGCACCTAATATTTTCTATATTATAAAAATATTAATTTACAAACAATGTTTTGCAGTTTAAGTTATATTTTATATTTTATATAACTTTTTTCTCTTTTCCTATTTTAACATGGAATAATTTAAACATAACATTCTATATTATATAATTTCATAAATTTTAAATAGAAAGTATCAATAATTTTTAAAATAAAAACCACCAACAGTCAATATCTCATCGGTGTGGAGGAGAATGGAGTGGAGAGGAATGTAGCAGAGTAAAATGAAATAAATATGTCATTCTATTGTTTGAATATTTTATGACGGAATAGAGAGATTTTGTATTTTAGGAGAAGTCGACCACAAAAGCAGTTAACCAAAAGAGATTTCTTAAGTAGTCAATTGGACTTGTGGACGCAGTCGACTAGAAAGAGGCCTCATGAGGAATAAATTGGGCCCATAAATGTTAAAAAATCCAAAGAGTTCATAACTAGCAAAGCAAAGTGTTATGAATGGAGAACGTGGATTTGATAGCAGGAATGGAGAACGTGGGATCATGGAGAAAAGTTACAAGAGACATGTGGCATACAAGAAAGTGAAGTCTGCCAGAAAGTAGTTAGTTTCATGTATTATAAATAAAGCACTTAGTGCATAGTGGAAATGGTTTGAACCTTCACATTCTTATACGCTAGTCACTCAAAGTACCCAAGCGAACGAGCGAAATGAGTCAAGCTAGGGCAGTGTACATTTGAATCAACAAAAACACTCGAAAATTGAAGCATTGTACTAAGATCCTGATCGATCTCTCCAGTAAACTTTTTGTTAAGAGACCAACATTGTTTACCAAAATCAGAGGTAAACACACGCAGAGCAGGTGGACCTTCGTTCTAACGCATGAAATTTCTCCTTCCAATGCATAGAACACCATCTGGTCCAATTTGACGGTCGTCCCATAGCATGTTGCATCATAGTTGAAAGCACGTAATTTCAAATATTTAAATTGATTCTCACTCACACATTAGTTCTGATTTCTCTCATTAACTTTGGTGTTAGAATGCTAACATTGTAGGTCATCTCATTCCCCACCGCATCAGATGCTCAGAACCACCGCAACAAAGTTTGCATCCTAATTTTTTGATCAATTTTAGTTCCACTAAAGAAGAACACCAAATATATACATATTTCATAGAATAAATTTAAATTTCAAAAAACAATAAAAAGAATATTAAAATCGACCACTAATATCAAATTGAAATATAAGAATGTTTTAGATATAAATAGTTTTATCATTATGTTTTATAAATAAAACAGAAAATAAAATTAATTTGTTATAAAATAGAATTAATTCTGTAATGACATGTTAATTAATAGATTAAAATGTAGTTGAGTATCACAAAAGACGAAAGAATAATTTAAAAATGAGAGAGTGTGGCAAAAGGTATTATAATTGTGATACAGAAATAAATAGAACGAAGCAGTACGTAATGAATTAGTAGGTAGGTACACGTTTACGTAGCAGTCACCAAAGCACCAGTGGTCTAGTGGTAGAATAGTACCCTGCCACGGTACAGACCCGGGTTCGATTCCCGGCTGGTGCAAAACCGAGCAGTGATGACTCTTGTGTCAATTGTGGTGATGGGTTTCATCACGATCGTTTACTTCGGTTGCGAAAAACGGCACATCTGAGCTCAATTTTTTCTCATTCTCATCAATTTTTATTCTTTAGCAATCATTATTGCCACCACCAACAGCAATAGCCCCATACAATAACAGTAATATATCACATATGATATGAGCATGTACAAAGATTATGTTTATTTTAACGTAAAATCTTTTCATATCTTACTATTTCACATCTTATACAATTATAATATATTATTTTATGACTTATTCATTTTAAATATTATTTTTTATTAACACACCCGTTTTTTTTATTAATATTATTATTACACATAATTAATATATATATATATGCAATAAAATAATATATATATATATATATATATATATATATATATATATATATATATATATATATATATATATATATATATATATATATATATATATATATATATATATATATATATATATATATGCAATAAAATAATATATATATATATATATATATATATATATATATATATATATATATATATATATGCAATAAAATAATATATATATATATATATATATATATATATATATATATATATATATATATATATATATATATATATATATATATATATATATATATATATATATATATATTGCAGAAATAATAATAATAATAATAATAATAAGAGTTTTATGTCAATTATGTCCGGCTAAATTTCTAGAGCTCGGGATGTGAGGATCGTCTTTTCGTCGGGACTCGGTAAAAACCATCGGCGCTTATTTTTATAATTTATTTATTTTTCCGATTCTAATTTTTAGTTTTAAATTAAAATAGTTTTGCGCGAGAGCGAAAACACTAAGGTACTGATCAATAGCACGACAGTGTGAGACCCGTATTTGATAGTAAAAATTAGATTTAATTTTCTAAAAACAGCGACATCGCTTTAGTGATTAATTAGATTTTATCGATTTTCAAAAATTGTTTTGAAACTGAAATTGAGTGAGCGACAACAAAGCGATTACAGATCTGAAACATAACACGGGCTGCGTGAGAGTAAGCAGTGTTTTTTAAGTAGATATTTTCTTTCGAAAATTATTTTATAAGTCAAGAATAAAAGTGTCGGTATTTATCTGAGTTCCCAGAGGTACAACTGCAAATCACATTTCGGTCTAGGTTTTATTAGTATTTTCTTAACCAAATTTTATTTCTTGTTTTAAATTCCTTTTGCAACTAAAAATCCTTTCTGAAAGCATTTAATTCACAAAGCAATAATAGATAGTGATAGGATTAACTATTGGTTTTTGTGGGTTCAACAATCTTTTATATTACTTCGATATTTCTGTGCAATTACAGAGGCATCACTTATCGAAACTAGAGTTTAATACAAAATCTCACAACATATTTTCATGTCATATATCATCTAATGTGAGACTCTTATCACACATGACCAGTGGCGAAGCCAGAAAAATTCTAAAGCCTGGGCAAAAATTTAAACACCGCAAAAATTTAAAGACCATAAATTTAAAGACCGTAAATTCATGAGGAGATTTGTCAGTAACACTTAAGCATTAGAATTATTTGCATTATCTAATCTATAATTATTAGCTTCAACTCACATATAGACAAGGGACAATGTTAAA